CGGAATGTTTATTCCTTAATTACCTATATACAGCCGGCGTGTGTACTCATTAACGCCTGACTGATTCCTTAATCTCCCTTAGTTCTTAATTAAATAAAACAATTGACTTCGGAATAATTCGTTTTGTAATTCATTTTAATTTAAGATCCAATTTAGACTGCCTACAACTTTTAAACTTTGAAGTCTTGAACTCTTGAACTCTTGAACTCTTAATTAATTTTTTACAGTATGGAACTTATTGGACGAACACTTTTAATATGTAAATAATATACCGGTCCAACTATGTGTTTTTTACTGCGAGCACTTCGCTTTTCCACATAAAGTGTAGTGTCGTTAATATTTGTCATTAATTAATCAATCCGACTATAAAAGTTATACAGGCATGGGTCATAAATTACACGTCGGTGCTAGCAGTGAGTGTTAGTGGGATTAAGAATGTTGATTAGGTAATTATCTTTTTTTACGCCTGCCAGATCGAAGACATCACTCTAAGTGAACTAATGGTAGAATCGTACACCCACACATTAATTGTATAAAATCATTATGTTTTACTCATCAGTTGTTTATAAGTATTATTTACCCAATAATTATTGCTCACCAGTGTTTTTGTAATCAAGTAGCCTCGTATTATTTGTTGATTGGCGTTTAAACAACAATCGTTTATCTTCTTTTTAATAAAAGTATTTTACAATTGCATTGACAGTTTAATCACTCACCAAACGGCACCAGGAACTCCACGTATGATCCCGTGCAATTTTCGTGCCGAAGTTTAACCTCATTTACTACACCCGTAGTACATGTAACCGTAAATGGTAATAAGATTCCCAGCGTTGATTGGCTGAGAAATGAGGGCGATCTATTGTACATGTTATGCATAGTCATCGGAAAATTCCATATTCACTGTAAATTTCAAATGGAGTTACGATAAAAGTTGTTCTTTATGTATAGAAATGGTTATTATTATTATATATAGCTAATAATGAATATATCGACAAATGACTGGCGCCATTATATCAAGTATTACGGGGTTATCCAAATTACCGGTAAATGCGCTAATTTCTTGAGTCGTCTTCATTTGACATGTGGCCTATTTAAACAAAGGCAGCTTAAATGGATCTACGGCATGATACGGCATTTGAAATTCACTCTAAAATATTCCAATCACAAATGAAAGACGATAATTCGGTGATTATGATTGGAACGTCAACAGACGCTTGTCAACTTGCCGTGTGTATTGATAGTGCTATATTGTACAGACAGTGAGATATTGTATAGATAATGTATATCCTATGTGTAGTGCCTGTGACGTCACCAGCCAATCAACCGGATTAAGGTCGTAATTGAAAAATTGAAAAGCGTTTTGGCGTGTCGGACACTTAAACGTTAACAGCGGACTTAATTTTAATCAGATTGGTGAGAAGTTGCCGTAAAGTTGATATAGTAACCATGGGCTATACATACATGTAATTTAGATTTTCGATCTTACGTGGTCTTTCGATATCAAAGACACGCTAGTCAAGGATTAAAGGATATCTCGTTTATCGAGCACAAGATGATATCCAGTCCGGGATTGTTGATTTAAATATATCTCAATATCGAAAGAACATTATTCAACGTCAATATGGAAATGAGTATGCAACCAACAGAAGCCATAGTTCCTAGCAGGTTTTATATAAAAATCTGTCAGTAGAACAAACAGTATAGAAATACAAAATAACCCCAAGTGTTGACATAATAATAGACAGAGGAATGGGGTTTAACGTCCATTTCACCATTTCACACAAACTAGGTTATTTCGGGACTAACATATGGTTCAATTTTATTTCAATAATTCGCTTGCGTGTAGGGGTCTTTATCAGTGGAAGGAAACCGGAGGACCCGAAAAAAAAACCAAGAGGTTGGACAGGCGATCCTACTTGTCGTGTGTTTTCGACATTCCGCGATTTGAAGCTTCCTGGTTAACCACGTCTACTTCCTTTCCGTTAGACACGGTAATCAGCTTATATAGTCATATTTGACGTCTATTGTACATCTTAAATCCACTTACTTAGAGTGTCGTGTTTTTATTTCATGGGTCTAGAAGAACCTCCCCTTTAAAATTGTAGGAAAGTTTCAATGAAAACAATTTAGTGGATTGTTCGAATGCATTGGTTATGTTGCCTAGAAATATATACTCTATATTTTCACATATGAGTGTGGTGAAGTAACATTTTGGAAAGGAATTAATCATTTTAAATTAGAAATTATAGGAATTCGCCAATATAAATTATAGCACTTGTTCTTTAATTGTATAATTGTTAATTTGGTGTACAACGACTAACGTTTTCATCAAAATTGTTAGTACAGTCTTGTACACCATTACATATATTGTTTGCCGATTGACATACAGTATCGCTGTTCTTACATTTAAATTCTCCTGCTGTACATCCATCTGAAACGAAACATTCAATATTTTAAACCTCTTGATTCAGATAATTAAAGATACATTATGTAAAATTTAAATAAAGAGCGCACCATTCTTGATATAATAGGTCACAAATAGATAATATAAAATGAAAATATTGAGAATTTCATTCAGATTACTTCATTCTTAGCCAAGTCATCATTGTTTGTAGTATTAACAAGATGTGTGCATTGTTGTAACCAGGGCACTGGTATATTCGAGACTTAGCCTATCTTTCCTATTTTTAAATTAAATTTTTAAATGGCGAACCGTTCTAATGTGGTATCCGATGCCATCGAGAGTTGATTATTGTCTGGATAAGTTAGTTAATGTCTAATTAATAGTTTATATAACATTTTAAGCATAATGGAAGACCTGCGATAGGCAGATTTAGCTCTTGCATAATGTATTTTAAATCATAATCTTTAAGTAATAAGGTTAGTCAACTGTTTTCAAGCGAATAACGAAGTAAATACCAAAATGAAATGGGGTTTGATGTCCTACTGTTCTTCTCCGACTGGGCTAATGAAGACGGGCATATGCCGTACAGTGTGCTATGAGGAAACTTTTGGCTGGGCAGCGGGACTATTGCCTACTCTTATATCGAATTCCAACTGCTGAGGGATCTTTTACGTGCACGTCAATGCATACACGGGACCTCGGTTTTTAGTCCCATCCGATCGTCTAGACAACTGTTTTTGTCTGGCCATGTCTCATACATCACTGACAAGGGGAAACCACGTCGGAAAATCCCGAGGTGTATACCGTCTTTAGTTAAAAATGGAAAACGTTAGCTTAGGTTTAAAGAAATAAATAGAACCTAAATTCGTCCGGATCCCAAATTCAATGGCCTACAACATTCGCAGAGTCATGCTGGTTAATTTGATACCACATATGTGGGGATAAAGCGCGGAGACAAATCGTGATGGACGAATATACATACACACACCCATACACATTGTGACCTCTAGAGTGTCAGTAAATTCCCTATTACATGATATTACAATATTTGCGTACATGGAAGCGGGCAATTTTGGTCCGATTTTCACGAAATTCGAACTCGGCCATAAATTTGTTGAAACGGTGATATCTTTTTAATGGTGTTTAAAATGCAATCAAAGTATCCGAGACCTTTGGGATATAAACCTATATTTCAAGTTTTGTCAAAGTCAGAATATAGTTGTGACCTTGAGAGTGTCCACAAAAAAATGTGAACGGACGTCCGGACGGACATTGGCGACTACATAATACGTCCACATGGAAATGTGCGTATATAAAAAAAAACATCAGTTAAAATCTCTCTATCGCGTTAAAGGCGTTTTCAGAAAATGAGAGATAACTCGGTTCGCAAAGCACTGAAAATCGACAAAGTGTACCATCTTATGACCCTTTACTCCACACAAAATTTGAAAGAAGTCCGTGACACAAATCGGTTCTCTAATGGGTAACGAAATGGAACTCTCAAACCTAAATATGGTTTGTTTGACATTGCTGATTTCGTTTCTTGTGGTTTCCTTTTTAGGCGACTGGTACGATTGAATCATAAGATCTACTGCTAAAATTGTTAGCTATAAGTCCCAAAATGTGATTTGGTGTTCGGTGATCTGGGAACAGTACGCACGCATTGCATTGAGCTCATCCGTTATATTTCCGATAGCGATAGCTTGGAAAGCATATAGAAACGCTATTTAAGAAAAAGGTGAATTATACGGACTTTAGTTATCCGTATCTATAACTAGTTCTCTTTAAAGGTGAACTATATGGACTTTAGTTATCCGTATCTATAACTAGTTCTCTTTAAAGGTGAACTATATGGACTTTAGTTATCCGTATCTATAACTAGTTCTCCTTAAAGGGGCGTTTTAACTATAAAAATTTAAATTAACGTTAACTTACTACAATTATTGGTCGATTCGTCTGCGCCATTTTGAGTGCAATCCTCTGTCCCATCACACCAAACGGATACCGGAAACGGGACACGTTGTGTTTGACCTACAACGTTACAGTAGAAGACACCTGAAGCAGTTACAACATAACTGAGAATAAATATAACACTAATACGGCAATTTTGTATTGTTCACTTCAAGAATTTTACATTCTTTTTCACCTAATCTAAGATTTCGGGGGTTTAAAGACTGTTGGAGTGGGTAACATATAATAACACTTGGTATTTAGGCAACTTGTCATCCTTGGCTTTAAACACATGACCATGGTTAGTGTAGCACAAGCATAGTACGGCTGACACTATTGCGCGACTCACGAAATTCTCAGAGCTTTTTTTATTGTATAACCAATATATTATTCAAATGTGTGACCTCAACTTATCCGCGGTTTAGACTAACATGTGGTTATAATGTACTAAAGTTTCAGATACATTAAGCGTCCAATTAGTTTTTCTGTTTGACAGCAAACATTAGGAATTAACCATACATACTTAAGATCAATCACATTTGAAGTATCCGAACTTTGTCAACAAGTACAAACTATATATAGTATTTGAGTATTGATGGCACAAAAGGGAGACGTATTGCCCATAGTTCACAGAATTTTATTTGTGTTAAACTGTACCATTACCTGTGATGCTACTTGTTGTTGGTGATGTCGTAGGGCTTGTTGTTGGAGAAGTAGTTGGACTAGTTGTTGGAGAAGTAGTAGGACTGGTTGTTGGAGAAGTAGTAGGGCTGGTTGTTGGAGAAGTAGTTGGACTTGTTGTTGGAGAAGTAGTTGGACTAGTTGTTGGAGAAGTAGTAGGACTGGTTGTTGGTGAAGTAGCAGGACTGGTTGTTGGAGAAGTAGTAGGACTGGTTGTTGGTGATGTCGTAGGGCTTGTTGTTGGAGAAGTAGTTGGACTAGTTGTTGGAGAAGTAGTAGGACTGGTTGTTGGAGAAGTAGCAGGACTGGTTGTTGGAGAAGTAGTAGGACTGGTTGTTGGTGAAGTAGCAGGACTGGTTGTTGGAGAAGTAGTAGGACTGGTTGTTGGTGAAGTAGCAGGACTGGTTGTTGGAGAGGTAGTAGGACTCGTAGTTGGAGAATTAGTAGGACTGGTGGTTGGAGAAGTAGTAGGACTGGTTGTCGGAGAAGTAGTAGGACTGGTTGTCGGAGAAGTAGTAGAACTGGTTGTTGGAGAAGTAGTTGGGCTTGTTGTTGGAGAAGTAGTTGGACTGGTCGTCGGTGATGTAGTCGGACTTGTTGCTGGAGAAGTAGCAGGACTTGTTGTTGGTGAAGTAGCAGGACTTGTTGTTGGTGAAGTAGTCGGACTGGTAGTTGGAGAGGTAGTAGGACTGGTTGTTAGAGAAGTAGTAGGACTGGTGGTTGGTGATGTCGTAGGACTGGTGGTTGGAGAGGTAGTCGGACTGTTGGTTGGAGAAGTAGTAGGACTTGTTGTCGGAGAAGTAGTAGGACTGGTTGTCTGAGAAGTAGTAGGGCTGGTTGTTGGAGAAGTAGTTGGACTTGTTGTTGGAGAAGTATTTGGACTGGTCGTTGGTGATGTAGTAGGACTTGTTGCTGGAGAAGTAGTAGGACTTGTTGTTGGAGAAGTAGTAGGACTGGTTGTTGGAGAAGTAGCAGGACTTGTTGTTGGTGAAGTAGTCGGACTGGTGGTTGGAGAGGTAGTAGGACTGGTTGTTGGAGAGGTAGTGGGGCTTGTTGTTGGTGAAGTAGTAGGACTGGTTGTTGGAGATGTCGTAGGACTTGTTGTTGGAGACGTAGTGGGACTGGTTGCCGGAGAAGTAGTCGGACTGGTCGTTGGCGATGTAGTTGGACTGGTTGTTGGAGACGTAGTCGGACTGGTCGTTGGTGATGTAGTTGGACTGGTTGTAGGAGACGTAGTAGGACTGGTTGTCAGTGAAGTAGTTGGACTGGTTGTTGGAGATGTTGTTGGACTGGTTGTTGGAGAGGTAGTCGGACTGGTGGTTGGAGAGGTGGTTGGACTGGTGGTTGGAGATATTGATATTGAAATTACTGGGTCAGTTGGTGGTGGCAAATTATCACTGGTGGTTGGAGAAGTAGTAGGACTGGTGGTTGAAATTACTGGGTCAGTTGGTGGCGGCAAATTATGATATAGTTTATTACATATTGCTACAAGATGATCAATTATCTGACATTCCAATGTATCGTCGTTACAGACATTATCAATTAATGTAGTGCAGGTTTCAACCGGTATTAGTGCACCTATTCCTATACAATTCATAAAATTTGTGCGTCTACACAGTGTTGCACAGAAATCAGAAAACATGAATAAAGCACAACATGTATCTTCATTAGCAGCACATGCATCTCTTGTCACTTGCTGAATATCATTACACTTCCTTATTGTTGAATAACAAACCTTAATCCAGTGAGAGGCATAATTGTATGGCATCCGAATATGAGCACTTGTCTTTGTATCATGTAGAGTGAACAAAAATAAAACGAAACACAAAGATTCAACGTATATGTTGCTCACCCACATGTTCTGGTCGTGGGAACTATATTCAAGAACTAGAATTATTGTTTTTGTGATATATATGTGTGTGGGATATTGCTAATCAACCGAGAATAAAGATAAAGGCATTTACACGTGTTTATCGTAATGGTGATCATGTATTTAAGATGTTTATCAAGTTGAAAAATTATGTAATTTTGACTATGTATATGGTGGAGATACTCTGAATTATCTATCTAGAAGTTACAGAGGTCCAACTATTTTTACTTTAAAGTTTTTCTAGTTGACATCATCGAATTATGAAATCTGCACCTCCTAACTAGTTGAGTGTATCTGATATCATTAAACCCTCCGGGGCGACCTTAACACCATTTATCGCAAGTTCAACAAGAGTTCTTATTAACCGTAATCTCGTTATCAAACGTTTAGTATTATTACGGATAAATTAGGCCTACCATTGGATTTATTATAGTGTAATTTCAGTCTCGGATAAACGAATACATGGCTCTTTGTCAAGTCCGCTATATAAACGAAGAAGGCGTCAATTTCTTTGATATAATTTATAAATCAAATGAAATGAAATGGGGTTTAACGTCCTACTGTTCTGCTCCGAACTGGGCTAATGAAGACGGGCATACGCCATACAGCGTGCTACGAGGGAAATTTTGCCCAGGCAGCGGCACTATCGCCTACTCTTATATCGAATTCCAACTGCCAAGGGATCTTTTACGCGCATTCCGATGTATACACGGGACCTCGGTTTTTCGTATCATCCGAAGGACTAGACAGCTGTCCTTGTCAGGCCCCCCGTTCTGCACCACTGACAAGGGGAAACCACGTCGGAAAATCTCGATGAACTTTCTCGGCCAATGCAGGGATCGAACACGTGACCTCCAGGATAGCGAGCCAGCGCCTTAACCAAGTAGCCACCGTGGCTCCCGATATAATTTATATCAGTTACGTAATTTTAATGTCAGTGAAAACAAAATGGACGAAACATTAATTGTTCTTATTCAGTTACAGAATGTCCCTCATAGCACACTGTATGGCGTTTGTCTGTTTTCATTAGCCAAGTTTGAGCAGAGCAATGGAAAATTAAAGCCCATTTCATTTCACTTTATTTCCACGAAGTTTGCTTTGTGTTTACACCCCCCCCCCCCCCCCCGCGACCGGTACTCTGCTCCTGTTCAATTTCTTACATCTTGACGAATTGTGTATACCCATACTTGCATTATTTTTGATTGAAGTAAATTTTAATAACGCAGTAATAAGAATAATGCAAACTGTATTGAGAGCACTGGTAGACTGATTAACCGTGTCATTGTTTTAAGGCTGTCCGTGATCCAAAAACTCTCTATTTGATTTTTATAATTAAATTTAGAATCCTTGTATTGTAAAATTCATTTTTATGAAGACATACGTTTAAATGAGAAAAAAACGTGCTTCCAAGGGTAAATGAATAGCTTCCTTTCGGACTCGCACCTTTTTATGCTTACGTCATGAAAATAATATTAATTAAATCAACTATCATAGCTATATTGGAGGTAGCAATTAATTGTCTTTAGCAGTAGGAGGAAACCGGAGGATCCGGAGAAAACCATGAGGTTGGCTAGGCGACCCTACTCCTTGTCACCCACAACCGGGGAATCGAGACCATGCACTTTATTCAATGACAGACCTTATGATACAACGTACACGCGCTAACCATTCGCCCCACAACTACAACCACATAGACTATTTGTGCAAATCTTGGTAATATATATGTTTGTTGGTACTTACTCATTACATTTTCTCTGTAAATACTGTACTGTATTTAATATAATATTGACTACAAAGTTTCAAGTCAATACCCAGGGATTGTGTTCAACGTTTTATGCATGTTTATTTACATTTCCAAGGTGGCAAACTGAAATTATTGACATTTTATAAAATATGGCGACATAGTGCGACATAATTATTTCCATGGATACTAGTATTCCCCAGGTCTATTTAATTGACAAATCAAAACAAACCCAGAGCAAATACTATCCAAATCATTCGGCTCTGACCAGTTTACGCTACGACGTGTTATGTAAACAATATCATCCAGCCAATGTAGAATACCTGTAAACTTTATAAAGGTCAGATATCTTGTACACGTGTATTAGACGGCTTTAGCAATATCTCTGTGAAGCAGATTAGATTCTCACATTTCCTGTTTTGTTGTTGATTGAGAAATTTTCACAGTTATCAAAGCTATTTCTGTGACCGTAGTAAATTATCTCCTCCGCTGGTTCGAGTATTCATGTTCCCACAAGTATATGTATGTGTATATTGTTATTGTGATTTTTTGTACAAATACGCTGATATTTGTCAAATAAAACATTGACAAGTAAAATAACACACCCCAGGGGTAAATTAGAACTTATTATTAACAGTTCGTTGGGAGTGTAATTAGCCCAAGGTCAGATCGAACTATTTCCCTTCACGGTATATAAAGTGAACAGAAAAATTTATCGTACATGAAATTGCCTGGGGATGTGACTAGTATTAAGCACGGTCAATATAATCAGTAATTTGACGTGTTTAACCCACTGTGAAGGGGATAGAGTCGGGGTTAAGACATTGTGGGTTATGTACGAACAATCATAATATCATCAATGTAACGGTATGTGTGATATCAAATCTTTCATGATTACCGTAGAATGCAAAATGGCAGAAAGTTCGGGACTAACACTTGGGTCAATTTTACTACAACAATTGGCTTGTGAGTAGGGGTCTTTAGCAATGGAAACAAGAAAACAGAAACAAAATGAAAATGAAATGAAATGTGGTTTAACGTCCTACTGTTCTACTCCGACTGGGCTAATGAAGACGGGCATACACCCGGACAGAGGTCATCCGACCTACTATTATATTGTCTTGGTGTATTTATTGGAACATTGTACTATGTATATGGGGTTTGATGGTCGAGTGGTCTAATGTGTAGGCCTTAGATCTGTCATTGAGTCTAGTGGCGTGGTTTCCACCAGTCCCTGCTTCGATTAAGAACCCAAGCGAAAGCAAATTATTGAAATAAAATCGGACCATATGTTAGTCCCGAATCAACTAGTTTTCTCTATCCCCTCTCTCTCTCTCTCTCTCTCTCTCTCTCTCTCTCATTAAATTACAACCAAAAATGAGTATATAAAAATAAAAACATACTAAATAGACGCGTCTATAATTTATAGTTTATTAATAAATACAATATAAATTATGAAAAAGTATAAATTATAAATGATAATTAAAACTACAATCATAAAAATAGTACATTATAAAAAAATCTCTCATTAAATTACAATCCAAAATATATAATAAGTGAAACAATGTGCTATCACATTACATCCATAAAAATAAATAATAAAAAAATAATATAAGCGCCTACTACTAAGATGTGTAGTTTATTAATAAATACAATGTAAATAACGGTTAAATACGAAATATAAGAAAATAAGTTAATAAAAAATTTCTCCTTTATTCATTGACGGATAATCATTGAATAATTTCGAATTTCATGCAATGGATCACATCATTTCACGTTTAACTTCATATTTCACAGATTGTGGTCTTAGTCGGAGCACATTAGACACAATTTCGTTGATAATAATGGGATTATGTATCAAACGACAACATGTACTCAATTAAACTATTTACCGTGTCTGAAAGTTCAGTCCAAACTATTGAACACTTTGCGTTGTGTAACTCAATGTACAGAATTAAACTATTTGCCGTGTCTGAAAATTCAGCCGAAGCTATTGACCCCTTCGTGTTACGTAACACGATGTAAAGAATTCAACTACTAGCCCAAACTACTGAATCGTTCGCGTTGTGTAACTCAAATAAAGAAGAATTGTTGGCTGTTGTGTTGTTTACCACACGACAAGGTAAACTAGACATGATTTACATATACCACTAGCCCACATGCGTCGGTTTGCAAACTGCGACAAGGCCAGCTGAGAACTGAAATGAACTGAAATGAAATGGGGTTTAACGTCCTACTGTTCTGCTCCTATACTAGGCTAATGAAGACGGGCATACGCCATACAGTGTGCTATGAGGGAAATTTTGCCTGGGCAGCGGCACTATCGCCTTATATCGAATTCCAACTGCCAAGGGATCTTTTACGCGCATTCCAATGTATACACGGGACCTCGGTTTTTCCTCTCATCCGAAGGACTAGACAGTTGTACTTGTCAGGCCACTGCACCACTGACAAGGGCAAACCACGTCGGAAAAAGCGGAGAACTGAATGACACGCCTAAATGTCTTTCACACTGATTATCATGGATTCAACTTCATTAAACATAACGTGATTACACGTTTGGTGTAAAGTTGTGTTCACACTGCAGGCCGAAGGCTTTTATCGAATTATTTTCTTTGTATACATACACAGGTAGTAATTTAATTGCAGTTAGAGAATGGCCGCCTTTCAATGTAGATTTTACTTTTGATTAAGATATGTTTTACTTGGGCGTATGTTTCGTTACTAACACTCTACAATTTTAGATATGGAAGAAACAGTTTGAAGGTAGAGAAGGACTCGTAGAATAAGATATGACGTCGTTAATTTGGTGTACAACGACTTGTGACTTCATCAAAATTGTTGTTACAATCTTGAACACCATCACAGATAAGGGTTGACGGCAGACAAACCGGATCGTTGCTTTTACATTTAAATGTTCCTGCAGAACATCCATCTGAAACAAAACATTCGATATTATAAATCGGTCAACGCATATATGGCATAACCTTTTCCAAAACAAATAGTTTATTTTATCACACTTGACAATTCGAAAACAAGGCAATAAGAGAGAGAGAGAGAGATGGGGTTTAATGTCCACTCGACACAAACTAGGTCATTTGGTTTAATTTTATTTCCATAATCCGCTTGCGCGTAGGGGTCTTTAGAAGTGGGAGGAAACCGGAGGACCCAGAGAAAACCCACGAAGTTGGACAGGCGACCCTTCTCCTTGTCACGTACAACCGGAGATTTGAAACCACGCCAGTTGACACAATGACAGACTTTATGCTACAGAACGCACGTGCTAACCATTCAATGCGAACCATGACCATTTAACTATCCATAAATAATAGACTGAGTAAAAAATAGGTTACGTGTCCTTGTTTTTAAATTAGTTCCGCTAAAACAGTCTACCGAAAATTCTCCGTCTGAATGACAGGCGGGAATAATCAAGACTACTTTTTTTTACGAAACATAACAGAAAGCTGGAACAATAAATTTAATTTAGAAACACGCACGTTAGGCAACTCAACAATAATTGTTTTAAGAACCTTGTTAAAGTAAAATGAAACTACTGTTAGTATCATGTTCTTGCCCAACGCAAGTATTTCAGAGATATTATTTGTACTAAACCAAAAGATGCCCGCCCCTAACAGTACAGTTAATGATAAAGCAATTTAAAAAATAAAACAAACTTATTATCTAAAGCTGCTACAATAGCCAAAAAGCTAAATATAACTGCTATTCAGAATCGTCAATAATAGATTTTTTTTATGGCTGTAATAGTTTATAGATGTGTAGAGAATTTCACGTGCGATGGCTATGTATAGACTCATACGGGTGTTATCGTACTGCGTGACTAGGCAGAAATCACTTCAAGACAAGCCACTGAAGCCTACACATTCGCCGTGTCGAGTTCAGCTTTCAGTAGGGATAATTTTCGCTGCACGGGGCACTGTACTATTATGAAAATAGTTAATTTCTGTTTTTCTAGTAGCCCTGTCCACAAACCCACTCTCTGCAGTTGTAAGTTGTGGTTAATTAACCGATCAAGATATATCAGCTATGCATACTTCTCAAATAACCGAACACAACTGACACTATTCTTAGCGATATATATATATACAATTTCAACCAATAGGAGGGGGGGGGGTCGAATGTAGATTTTATAAAAACGTAATCTTACTACAATTTTTGTTCGCCTCGTCTACGCCATTTGGAGTACAATCATCTGTTCCATCACACCATACTGATACCGGAAATTGAACACGCTGTGCTTGACCTACAATGTCACAATAGAAGATTCCTGAAAGAGTAAAAAAGTAATTGAGAATAAATATTGAACTAACTTTATATCTTTCGATCGATGACAAGCAAGAGAGAGAGAGAGAAATGGGGTTTAACGTCCAATCGACACAAACTAGGTCATTTCGGGACTAACATATGATTTAATTTTATTTCAATAATTCGCTTGCGCGTAGGGGTCTTTAGCAGTGGGGGGGAAACCGGAGGACCCGGAGAAAACCCACGAGGTTGGACAGGCGACCCTACTCCTTGTCACGTACAACCGGGGATTCGAAAAGACAAGCAATTTCCATCCAATAGTTTCATTACTTCTGTAACAAATGACGAAAAAACTAGAATCATATACACAGTAGGATTACCGTCAAACTAAAGTTAAAGAGTGACCATATAAAGCTACATACTGTGATGACACAACGATAATTTCATTCTATTGCCCTACTTTACGATTTACATTGTATCGCGACTCACAAATTTCCCAGATTCAGTAGATGTTTGAATTTGGATTTATTGTTTCGTTAGTTTTGCCACAATTGTACATATTAAATGTGAGCACCCCCCCCCACACACACACACCCCTTCCCCCACCAACACACCCACACAAACTTCGTTGATAAATACACATCACCAAGTTTTGTGTTCGCATTGATTTATTTTGTGTATTTTTGTCGAAAAACTGCTAAAAATAACCATTTGCCATAGTTACACGGTGCAATATCTATGTTTATCAGTTAACAACATTACCTGAGATTGTTGGGGATGTCGTAGGACTTGTAGTTGGAGAGGTGGTAGGGCTGGTGGTTGGAGACGTAGTCAGACTGGTTGTCTGGGACGTAATGGGGCTGGTTGTTGGTGAAGTAGTCGGACTGGTCGTTGGTGATGTAGTTGGACTGGTTGTAGGAGAAGTAGTAGGACTTGTTGTTGGAGACGTAGTTGGACTTGTTATTGGCGAAGTAATCGGACTGGTCGTTTGTGATGTAGTTGGACTGGTTGTAGGAGAAGTAGTAGGACTTGTTGTTGGAGATGTAGTCGGTGATGTAGTTGGACTTGTTGTCGGTGATGTAGCCGGACTGATTGTTGGCGATGTAGTTGGACTGGTTGTAGGAGAAGTAGTAGGACTTGTTGTTGGAGACGTAGTCGGTGATGTAGTTGGACTGGTAGTCGGTGATGTAGTTGGACTGGTTGTTGGCGAAGTAGTCGGACTGGTTGTTGGCGAAGTCGTCGGACTGGTCGTTGGTGATGTAGTTGGACTGGCTGTAGGAGAAGTAGTAGGACTTGTTGTTGGAGACGTAGTTGGACTTGTTGTTGGCGAAGTCGTTGGACTGGTTGTTGGCGAAGTAGTCGGACTGGTCGTTGGTGACGTAATTGGACTGGTTGTAGGAGAAGTATTAGGACTTGTCGTTGGAGACGTAGTCGGTGATGTAGTTGGGCTGGTTGTTGGTGATGTCGTAGGACTTGTTGTTGGAGACGTAGTCGGACTGGTTGTCGGAGACGTAGTTGGACTAGTTGTTGGTGATGTAGTAGGACTTGTTGTTGGAGATGTAGTAGGACTGGTTGTAGGAGACGTAGTAGGACTGGTTGTCGGAGACGTAGTAGGACTGGTTGTCGGCGAAGTAGTTGGGCTGGTTGTTGGTGAAGTAGTAGGACTGGTTGTTGGTGAAGCCGTAGGACTGGTCGTTGGTGAAGTATTCGGACTGGTCGTTGGCGATGTAGTTGGACTGGTTGTAGGAGAAGTGGTAGGACTTGTCGTTGGAGACGTAGTCGGTGATGTATTTGGGCTGGATGTTGGTGATGTCGTAGGACTTGTTGTTGGAGACGTAGTCGGACTGGTTGTCGGAGACGTAGTAGGACTGGTTGTCGGCGAAGTAGTTGGGCTGGTTGTTGGTGAAGTAGTAGGACTGGTTGTGGGTGATGCCGTAGGACTGGTCGTTGGTGAAGTAGTCGGACTGGTTGTAGGAGAAGTGGTAGGACTTGTCGTTGGAGACGTAGTCGGTGATGTAGTAGGGCTGGTTGTCGGCGAAGTAGTTGGACTGGTCGTTGGTGAAGTAGTCGGACTGGTCGTTGGTGAAGTAGTCGGACTGGTCGTTGGCGATGTAGTTGGACTTGTTGTAGGAGAAGTGGTAGGACTTGTCGTTGGAGACGTAGTCGGTGATGTAGTTGGGCTGGTTGTTGGTGATGTCGTAGGACTTGTTGTTGGAGACGTAGTCGGACTGGTTGTCGGAGACGTAGTTGGACTAGTTGTTGGTGATGTTGTAGGACTTGCTGTTGGAGATGTAGTCGGACTGGTTGTAGGAGACGTAGTAGGACTGGTTGTCGGCGAAGTAGTTGGGCTGGTTGTTGGTGAAGTAGTAGGACTGGTTGTTGGTGATGCCGTTGGACTGGTCGTTGGTGAAGTAGTCGGACTGGTTGTTGGTGATGCCGTAGGACTGGTCGTTGGTGAAGTAGTCGGACTGGTTGTAGGAGAAGTGGTATGACTTGTCGTTGGAGACGTAGTCGGTGATGTAGTTGGAGACGTAGTCGGACTGGTTGTTGGAGACGTAGTCGGACTCGTCGTTGGTGATGTAGTTGGACTTGTTGTAGGAGAAGTAGTAGGACTTGTTGTTGCAGACGTAGTTGGACTAGTTGTTGGTGATGTAGTAGGACTTGTTGTTGGAGATGTAGTCGGACTGGTTGTAGGAGACGTAGTAGGACTTGTTGTTGGAGATGTAGTTGGACTGGTTGTAGGAGAAGTGGTAGGACTTGTCGTTGGAGACGTAGTCGGTGATGTAGTTGGGCTGGTTGTTGGTGATGTCGTAGGACTTGTTGTTGGAGACGTAGTCGGACTGGTTGTCGGAGACGCCGTAGGACTGGTCGTTGGTGAAGTAGTCGGACTGGTTGTAGGAGAAGTGGTAGGACTTGTCGTTGGAGACGTAGTCGGTGATGTAGTTGGGCTGGTTGTTGGAGACGTAGTCGGACTGGTTGTCGGAGACGCCGTAGGACTGGTCGTTGGTGAAGTAGTCGGACTGGTTGTAGGAGAAGTGGTAGGACTTGTCGTTGGAGACGTAGTCGGTGATGTAGTAGGACTGGTTGTCGGCGAAGTAGTTGGACTGGTCGTTGGTGAAGTAGTCGGACTGGTCGTTGGTGAAGTAGTCGGACTGGTCGTTGGCGATGTAGTTGGACTGGTTGTAGGAGAATTGGTAGGACTTGTCGTTGGAGACGTAGTCGGTGATGTAGTTGGGCTGGTTGTTGGTGATGTCGTAGGACTTGTTGTTGGAGACGTAGTCGGACTGGTTGTCGGAGACGTAGTAGGACTGGTTGTCGGCGAAGTAGTTGGGCTGGTTGTTGGTGAAGTAGTAGGACTGGTTGTTGGTGATGCCGTAGGACTGGTCGTTGGTGAAGTAGTCGGACTGGTTGTAGGAGAAGTGGTAGGACTATTCGTTGGAGACGTAGTCGGTGATGTAGTTGGAGACGTAGTCGGACTGGTTGTTGGAGACGTAGTCGGACTCGTCGTTGGTGATGTAGTTGGACATGTTGTAGGAGAAGTAGTAGGACTTGTTGTTGCAGACGTAGTTGGACTAGTTGTTGGTGATGTAGTAGGACTTGTTGTTGGAGATGTAGTCGGACTGGTTGTAGGAGACGTAGTAGGACTTGTTGTTGGAGATGTAGTTGGACTGGTTGTAGGAGAAGTGGTAGGACTTGTCGTTGGAGACGTAGTCGGTGATGTAGTTGGGCTGGTTGTTGGTGATGTCGTAGGACTTGTTGTTGGAGACGTAGTCGGACTGGTTGTCGGAGACGCCGTAGGACTGGTCGTTGGTGAAGTAGTCGGACTGGTTGTAGGAGAAGTGGTAGGACTTGTCGTTGGAGACGTAGTCGGTGATGTATTTGCGCTGGTTGTTGGTGATGTCGTAGGACTTGTTGTTGGAGACGTAGTCGGACTGGTTGTCGGAGACGTAGTAGGACTGGTTGTCGGCGAAGTAGTAGGACTGGTCGTTGGTGAAGTAGTCGGACTGGTTGTAGGAGAAGTGGTAGGACTTGTCGTTGGAGACGTAGTCGGTGATGTATTTGGGCTGGTTGTTGGTGATGTCGTAGGACTTGTTGTTGGAGACGTAGTCGGACTGGTTGTCGGAGACGTAGTAGGACTGGTTGTCGGCGAAGTAGTTGGGCTGGTTGTTGGTGAAGTAGTAGGACTGGTTGTTGGTGATGCCGTAGGACTGGTCGTTGGTGAAGTAGTCGGACTGGTTGTAGGAGAAGTGGTAGGACTTGTCGTTGGAGACGTAGTCGGTGATGTAGTAGGACTGGTTGTCGGCGAAGTAGTTGGACTGGTCGTTGCTGAAGTAGTCGGACTGGTCGTTGGTGAAGTAGTCGGACTGGTTGTAGGAGAAGTGGTAGGACTTGTCGTTGGAGACGTAGTCGGTGATGTAGTTGGGCTGGTTGTTGGTGATGTCGTAGGACTTGTTGTTGGAGACGTAGTCGGACTGGTTGTCGGAGACGCCGTAGGACTGGTCGTTGGTGAAGTAGTCGGACTGGTTGTAGGAGAAGTGGTAGGACTTGTCGTTGGAGACGTAGTCGGTGATGTATTTGGGCTGGTTGTTGGTGATGTCGTAGGACTTGTTGTTGGAGACGTAGTCGGACTGGTTGTCGGAGACGTAGTAGGACTGGTTGTCGGCGAAGTAGTTGGGCTGGTTGTTGGTGAAGTAGTAGGACTGGTTGTTGGTGATGCCGTAGGACTGGTCGTTGGTGAAGTAGTCGGACTGGTTGTAGGAGAAGTGGTAGGACTTGTCGTTGGAGACGTAGTAGGACTTGTTGTTGGAGATGTGGTTGGACTGGTTGTAGGAGAAGTGGTAGGACTTGTCGTTGGAGACGTAGTCGGTGATGTAGTTGGGCTGGTTGTTGGTGATGTCGTAGGACTTGTTGTTGGAGACGTAGTCGGACTGGTTGTCGGAGACGCCGTAGGACTGGTCGTTGGTGAAGTAGTTGGGCTGGTTGTTGGTGAAGTAGTAGGACTGGTTGTTGGTGATGCCGTAGGACTGGTCGTTGGTGAAGTAGTCGGACTGGTTGTAGGAGAAGTGGTAGGACTTGTCGTTGGAGACGTAGTCGGTGATGTAGTAGGACTGGTTGTCGGCGAAGTAGTTGGACTGGTCGTTGGTGAAGTAGTCGGACTGGTCGTTGGTGAAGTAGTCGGACTGGTCGTTGGCGATGTAGTTGGACTGGTTGTAGGAGAATTGGTAGGACTTGTCGTTGGAGACGTAGTCGGTGATGTAGTTGGGCTGGTTGTTGGTGATGTCGTAGGACTTGTTGTTGGAGACGTAGTCGGACTGGTTGTCGGAGACGTAGTAGGACTGGTTGTCGGCGAAGTAGTTGGGCTGGTTGTTGGTGAAGTAGTAGGACTGGTTGTTGGTGATGCCGTAGGACTGGTCGTTGGTGAAGTAGTCGGACTGGTTGTAGGAGAAGTGGTAGGACTTGTCGTTGGAGACGTAGTCGGTGATGTAGTTGGAGACGTAGTCGGACTGGTTGTTGGAGACGTAGTCGGACTCGTCGTTGGTGATGTAGTTGGACTTGTTGTAGGAGAAGTAGTAGGACTTGTTGTTGCAGACGTAGTTGGACTAGTTGTTGGTGATGTAGTAGGACTTGTTGTTGGAGATGTAGTCGGACTGGTTGTAGGAGACGTAGTAGGACTTGTTGTTGGAGATGTGGTTGGACTGGTTGTAGGAGAAGTGGTAGGACTTGTCGTTGGAGACGTAGTCGGTGATGTAGTTGGGCTGGTTGTTGGTGATGTCGTAGGACTTGTTGTTGGAGACGTAGTCGGACTGGTTGTCGGAGACGCCGTAGGACTGGTCGTTGGTGAAGTAGTCGGACTGGTTGTAGGAGAAGTGGTAGGACTTGTCGTTGGAGACGTAGTCGGTGATGTATTTGGGCTGGTTGTTGGTGATGTCGTAGGACTTGTTGTTGGAGACGTAGTCGGACTGGTTGTCGGAGACGTAGTAGGACTGGTTGTCGGCGAAGTAGTTGGGCTGGTTGTTGGTGAAGTAGTAGGACTGGTTGTTGGTGATGCCGTAGGACTGGTCGTTGGTGAAGTAGTCGGACTGGTTGTAGGAGAAGTGGTAGGACTTGTCGTTGGAGACGTAGTCGGTGATGTAGTAGGGCTGGTTGTCGGCGAAGTAGTTGGACTGGTCGTTGGTGAAGTAGTCGGACTGGTCGTTGGTGAAGTAGTCGGACTGGTCGTTGGCGATGTAGTTGGACTTGTTGTAGGAGAAGTGGTAGGACTTGTCGTTGGAGACGTAGTCGGTGATGTAGTTGGGCTGGTTGTTGGTGATGTCGTAGGACTTGTTGTTGGAGACGTAGTCGGACTGGTTGTCGGAGACGTAGTAGGACTGGTTGTCGGCGAAGTAGTTGGGCTGGTTGTTGGTGAAGTAGTAGGACTGGTTGTTGGTGATGCCGTAGGACTGGTCGTTGGTGAAGTAGTCGGACTGGTTGTAGGAGAAGTGGTAGGACTTGTCGTTGGAGACGTAGTCGGTGATGTAGTTGGAGACGTAGTCGGACTGGTTGTTGGAGACGTAGTCGGACTCGTCGTTGGTGATGTAGTTGGACTTGTTGTAGGAGAAGTAGTAGGACTTGTTGTTGCAGACGTAGTTGGACTAGTTGTTGGTGATGTAGTAGGACTTGTTGTTGGAGATGTAGTCGGACTGGTTGTAGGAGACGTAGTAGGACTTGTTGTTGGAGATGTAGTTGGACTGGTTGTAGGAGAAGTGGTAGGACTTGTCGTTGGAGACGTAGTCGGTGATGTAGTTGGGCTGGTTGTTGGTGATGTCGTAGGACTTGTTGTTGGAGACGTAGTCGGACTGGTTGTCGGAGACGCCGTAGGACTGGTCGTTGGTGAAGTAGTCGGACTGGTTGTAGGAGAAGTGGTAGGACTTGTCGTTGGAGACGTAGTCGGTGATGTATTTGGGCTGGTTGTTGGTGATGTCGTAGGACTTGTTGTTGGAGACGTAGTCGGACTGGTTGTCGGAGACGTAGTTGGACTAGTTGTTGGTGATGTAGTAGGACTTGTTGTTGGAGATGTAGTAGGACTGGTTGTAGGAGACGTAGTAGGACTGGTTGCCGGAGACGTAGTAGGTGTGGTTGTCGGCGAAGTAGTTGGGCTGGTTGTTGGTGAAGTAGTAGGACTGGTTGTTGGTGATGCCGTAGGACTGGTGGTTGGTGAAGTAGTCGGACTGGTCGTTGGCGATGTAGTTGGACTGGTTGTAGGAGAAGTGGTAGGACTTGTCGTTGGAGACGTAGTCGGTGATGTAGTTGGGCTGGTTGTTGGTGATGTCGTAGGACTTGTTGTTGGAGACGTAGTCGGACTGGTTGTCGGAGACGTAGTAGGACTAGTTGTTGGTGATGTAGTAGGACTTGTTGTTGGTGAAGTAGTAGGACTGGTTGTTGGTGATGCCGTAGGACTGGTCGTTGGTGAAGTAGTCGGACTGGTTGTAGGAGAAGTGGTAGGACTTGTCGTTGGAGACGTAGTCGGTGATGTAGTAGGACTGGTTGTCGGCGAAGTAGTTGGACTGGTCGTTGGTGAAGTAGTCGGACTGGTCGTTGGTGAAGTAGTCGGACTGGTCGTTGGCGATGTAGTTGGACTGGTTGTAGGAGAAGTGGTAGGACTTGTCGTTGGAGACGTAGTCGGTGATGTAGTTGGGCTGGTTGTTGGTGATGTCGTAGGACTTGTTGTTGGAGACGTAGTCGGACTGGTTGTCGGAGACGTAGTAGGACTGGTTGTCGGCGAAGTAGTTGGGCTGGTTGTTGGTGAAGTAGTAGGACTGGTTGTTGGTGATGCCGTAGGACTGGTCGTTGGTGAAGTAGTCGGACTGGTTGTAGGAGAAGTGGTAGGACTTGTCGTTGGAGACGTAGTCGGTGATGTAGTTGGGCTGGTTGTTGGTGATGTCGTAGGACTTGTTGTTGGAGACGTAGTCGGACTGGTTGTCGGAGACGTAGTTGGACTAGTTGTTGGTGATGTTGTAGGACTTGCTGTTGGAGATGTAGTCGGACTGGTTGTAGGAGACGTAGTAGGACTGGTTGTCGGCGAAGTAGTTGGGCTGGTTGTTGGTGAAGTAGTAGGACTGGTTGTTGGTGATGCCGTTGGACTGGTCGTTGGTGAAGTAGTCGGACTGGTCGTTGGCGATGTAGTTGGACTGGTTGTAGGAGAAGTGGTAGGACTTGTCGTTGGAGACGTAGTCGGTGATGTAGTTGGGCTGGTTGTTGGTGATGTCGTAGGACTTGTTGTTGGAGACGTTGTCGGACTAGTTGTCGGAGACGTAGTAGGGCTGGTTGTTGGAGATGTTGTTGGACTGGTCGTTGGTGAAGTAGTAGGACTTGTTGTTGGAGATGTTGTCGGAGACGTAGTAGGACTGGTTGTTGGTGAAGTAGTCGGACTCGTCGTTGGTGATGTAGTTGGACTTGTTGTAGGAGAAGTAGTAGGACTTGTTGTTGCAGACGTAGTTGGACTAGTTGTTGGTGATGTAGTAGGACTTGTTGTTGGAGATGTAGTCGGACTGGTTGTAGGAGACGTAGTAGGACTTGTTGTTGGAGACGTAGTTGGACTTGTTGTTGGAGATGTAGTTGGGCTGGTTATTGGTGAAGTAGTAGGACTGGTTGTTGGTGATGCCGTAGGACTGGTCGTTGGTGAAGTAGTCGGGCTGGTCGTTGGCGATGTAGTTGGACTGGTTGTAGGAGAAGTGGCAGGACTTGTCGTTGGAGACGTAGTCGGTGATGTAGTTGGGCTGGTTGTTGGTGATGTGGTTGGACTGTTCGTTGGTGAAGTAGTTGGACTTGTCGTTGGTGAAGTAGTCGGGCTGGTCGTTGGCGATGTAGTTGGACTGGTTGTAGGAGAAGTGGCAGGACTTGTCGTTGGAGACGTAGTCGGTGATGTAGTTGGGCTGGTTATTGGTGATGTGGTTGGACTTTTCGTTGGTGAAGTAGTTGGACTTGTCGTTGGAGATGTTGTTGGAGAAGTATTAGGACTGGTTGTTGGAGATGTGGTTGGACTGGTTGTCGGTGATGTAGTAGGACTTGTAGTTGGAGATGTTGTTGGAGAATTAGTAGGACTGGTTGTTGGTGATGTCGCAGGACTTGTTGTTGGCGACGTAGTAGGACTTGTTTCTGGGGATTCGTTTTGATCTATCAATGGTGAAGTATTAGGACTTGTCATTGGAGAAGTAAATGTTATTGAAATTTCTGGTTCTGTTGGTTTTGGTAAATTATCAAATATTTGATGACATATTTCAATAAGTCGACTAATTGTCCGACATTCCAAAGTATCTTCCCTACAAGCATTTTCAATTAATGTAGTACAGGCTCCACGGGTTATCAAATCACCTATCCCTGCATAATTGCCAGAGTCTGAGTTTCTACACAGTGTTGCACAAAAATCAGAAAACGCGAATAAAGCACAGCAGGTATCTTCATTAGCAGCACATGCATCTCTTGTCACTTGCTGAATATCATTACACGCCATTGAATCAAAAACATTTCCCAAATCAGTAACAGGGCTGAATGGTACCCGGAAAAAAGAATGCGGCATCCGAAAATAAGAATGTGGCATCCGAAAAGAAGGATGTGCCTTGGTATCCTGCAACGTTAACATGAGTAAAACTAAATACAAAGATCCCACGCGCATCTTGCCCATCTAAACATTAAAACTGTTCTGATCATTGACATGCTTTAAAGGAAATGAAATGGTGGTTTTTATTATATATATATAGATGTGTATAGGGTTTGGCTAATCAACCGAAAACAAAGATAATGTCATAATGATAATTTAAGCATGTTTTATCTTAATGATGATCGTCTATATCAGCTGTTAATCCAGCTGAAGAATGATGTAATGATGGGGATATTATATAGACCATGGTTGATATTTGTCCAACGCCTAAGGCATGTGGACATGATACATTACCCATTTTAAATGTTTCAGATACGACGACGGGATATCGACCGATTTATGGAGCGTCTTGTTTTGCCTGTGGGAATTGGAACTTAGAAGTGGTAGGGGACAAACACGATTAATTTACTATTTACTTTATCAACCATGCTTTCCTTGGGATTTTCTTGTCTTTGGAGCTATATTTTAAATTGAAGTGGCTTGTCTGGTTCTGTTATTCGTGAATTGTTCCCCTTTGCTTTATCTTAGCTCGCTAGGATGTATTAGAATAAATGAATTTGTAAGTCAGTTATCTTAAAACAATAGTAAAAAAAAAGAATAAGTTTGTCTGGAAAGTCACGCGTATTTAAAAATGTATATAGACGCTGTTCATGTTCGTAGGTTACCAATCCACCCCTTAGTCCCATTTTCTTACTTTTATAGATATTAGAATATTAGTTATATTAGCACTAGTATCGGAATGATCGAAAAGGATGAACGATGAAAATATCGAATTGTTTATCGACAATTTACTTCTCTGCAGACATTATTGTTTCTCACATAAAGACCCACTGTCATAATTTTATTGTCAGATAGTAGCTTATGTGTGTGATAAATCGATAAACTCGGTATGGTTATCTTCCTAATACCATTAAGCTAGGTCTACTCTCTGATTGGCGGATTAAAGGTCTATATTTCAATAATTCGTTTGTGCGTATCGAGGTCGTTAGCAGTGGGAGGAAACTGGAGACCGTGTCTATTCATTTAGGTGTTAATGACATCGCCGCGACATCGTCGCCTGTGGATATATACCGTAGAAAATTAGAATTTGTTCAACAGTGACAATATTCAAAGGATAGGTAAAATTTTTGACAAGGGGGGATTTTTCAAAGGCGCCTGGTTTGGAACCGGAATCATTTAAAAGACAAAGAAGACGCGTTAATAAGTCATTAAAAGACAGATATAAAGATAAATTCGTGTGCTTTCCTGACATATTATACCTAAATGATTTTTTACAGAACCGAGTGCACTTGTAGACAGCGTGTTATACTAAAATCACCAGGATGAAGAAACAACTATAGTACAAGAAGACCGTTAAATGAACATTTTTAACCAACCTCTAAAATACTATTTTATTTGGATGTTTGGTTGTTTATTTTATAAACTGATTTTATTTTAATGCATTTTTTAAATCTTTGTTAATTTCTTTTGAAACTCTTTTTATTTTATGTTATGTTATATATTGATATGCTTTTAACGTGGAATATTGTATGAATTCACTATAGTTGAGGCATCTAAAATAACTCGTTTTCCTTATTTTAACTTCGTTGTCTTGGAAACAAACAGATGATTAATCTGAATAGCAATGTAAAATCTATTTATCGGTTGTAAAGGAAAATAAATGCGCAAATTATCGATTATTCGTTGCAATTATTATACTGATGTGCTGCTAATTGACGATATTAGGTTTGTATTTTATAATATTGGGTAGTATTTGATAAGTATTTGGTAGTATTGGGTTATTATTTTGTTGTGTGTTTCGTATAGGGAGGCAAATGGAACAGCCAGACATCGCTAATCACATTTCCCATGATATATCTCACTATTTTTGGAAAAAAATCAAGTAATATGGTAATTTGGCACCATTATGTTGTAGTATGTGTTGATATTGGGGTGGTATTGGGTAGTATTGGGTATAACGTCCCGCCGCTCAAAAATACAAATATTGAGAACGAGAGAACGTGTAATTTGTATTCTTCCGAGAAAACCCCACACCAACCTACCGCTTTCCCCCAGAAAAGACTTCAGTGCAAGGGCTCCCCTTTATCCAATACTATTTAAGACACATAAGCCATGTGTAATGAAACCTCTAAAATACTATTTTATTTGGATGTTTGGCTGTTTATTTTATAAACTGATTTTATTTTAATAAAAATCCCATGACAGTTGGAATTCGATAACGAGTCGGAGCAGAACAGTAGGACGTTAAACTTTGTTGCTTGGACTAATTCTGATATCAATTGATCCAGGTTCCCTGGCAACAGAAATCGTCCCTGCTTTGAGTTGGTAATAGAGGCAATTTACGAACAATTACATTTGAAATTTAAAATGTGTTTATTTAAAAACTAAATACTTTTATATTTTTAATCAGTAATGCTAGGTTCCCATTATCACGATTCGTGCTACGATTGAAATCGTGGTTTTAATCGTGGAGTAATCGTAGTGATACTATCAGGTCTTGTCATATATCGAGGCAATCGTGTTGACGGCATCGAAACGCATCCGGACGTGTCTGCACGTAGTAGATCGTGTACCCAATAGGTCTATCGTAAGGCATCACACGACAGTGGGAAACTCATATAACACAATTACCATATATATATATTTTAATTAATACAATATATACTAATAATAAACTCTGAAAATACAATGGAATATTTAAATAGCCGGTAGCAGCAAATTGTTAGGTCCACCCATAACCCTAACCCTTCAAGTCAAATTTCAACAAAATAAAATGATTACAAAACTGTAACATTCACAGTTGGAGAACAGAGGCCACATAGTTACCGAACGTATTGTCGTTACCTCGACGCTGTGCTAGAATTAGAAATGTACAAGTTAAGTGAATATCTAATTAGAGTTAAGAATAAACCTAAATCTGTTCATGTTTCTGAAATACAATATTCAGGGATAGGACAATCTATTTCGAACTGAGGACAAACCAATTGTATGAAATAAGTGGTTCCGAAATTACCTGGGTATTTTATTACCCCCCCCCTCTCTCTCTCACACACTACATTCCAGTTGGCGTGCAACGACTGGTAACCTCGTCAAAACCGTTAGGGCAATCCTGAACGCCGTTACAGATATTGGTTGCAGTCTGGCATGTATTGTCGCTGTTTCGGCATTTAAAAGTTCCCGGGGAACAGCCATCTACAACAAATTTAAAAAGTATTATTTATGTTATCAACTAGATAAGAATTTTAAGAATTATACACGAGATCCACTCTTTCCTATAAATAGATTGTTAGACCAATTAATGGTGTCTTCTCTCCGCGGGAGAGAGAAAGATGGGGTTTAACGTCCACTAGACACATGGTTCATATTTATAATTTTAGGGGAAAACCCACGAGATTGGACAGGCGACCCAACTCCCTGTCACGTACAAGCGGGAAATTGAAACCACACCACTTGACTCAATGTGTGTGTGTGAGAGAGAGAGAGAGAGAGAGAGAGAGAGAGAGAAATGGGGTTTAACGTCTACCCGACACAAACTAGGTCATTTCGGGACTAACATATGGTTCAGTTTTATTTCAATAATTCGCTTATGCGTAGGGGTCTTTAACCGTGGGAGGTAACCTGGTGACCTGGAGAAATCCCACGAGATTGGACAGTCGACCCTACTCCTTGTCACGTACAACCGGGGAATCGAGACCACGCCAGTTGACTCAATGACAAACCTTATGATACAGCGCGCACGCCCTAACCAGCCGGCCATCAAACACCCTTCTGAACTGGAAATTGTGGATCTTTTTTTTAAAATCAACTAGTAATTAATAACCCATAGTTTATCAACACATTTTCTGGGTTGGATAAAGAATTTCGACCAGAAGCTGGTCCTATAATACAACTTACTACAATTATTGGACATTTCATCTTCGCCATTTTGTGTACAGTCGATATTTCCGTCACACCAAAGTAATACCGGAAAAGGAACACGCATTGGTTGCATGGCGATATTACAGTAGAATATACCTGTAAAATACGTGCAGTAAAATCAAAACAACAGCTCTTCTTTTTTAAAAATGCATTATGGAAGAGCTAAATTTGCCTATTGCAGGTCTTTATTTATGAAATGTTATCTAAATTATTAATTAGACATTAATTAATTTATCCAGACAATAATCAACTCTCGGTGTCATCGCTTGTCTGCGATATTTAACGGATCTCGGTTCAGAGTGTGGCAATAATGACAAATGAATATATGGTTACAAACAAGATGTGAGTGTTTTAGTTGTGGTAAGATCTTAGCTAGTGTTTATAATTTCTTATCGTAGCAATATCCAAATCTCGCGGGTCTTCGAATCCATTTACATCTCGGTCATTCGGTGGACAAATGATGCGATTATGGACGTCCTATAAATAAATTTCGTGATGTTTATAATACTAAAACAGACGAACAAACTCCCAAACTCACCTGGATTAGGACTAGTTGTGGGCGAAGTGGTAGGGCTTGTTGTTTCGGAAGTGGCGGGACGGGTCGTTTCTGAGGTAGTTGGACTTGTTGT